CAATTCAATTGTCAGCATATATATACATTTATACACACATATATATACATCCATCAGCCGAATGTCGACAGACATTTAGAAGGCATTCAGTGAGCACTTTAACTCGTTTATATGTAAATTCACAGTTTATATATGAGTTTATTTCGGGGACCCCACTTAAGCGCCATCTGTGGAAAAAGGGGCAAATTTAATTGGTAAATTTCAGTTGAGCGTTCGCTTATCGAATGGCTGGAATGGCTGGAATGGCACGCGCCCAGCTCTCAGTAAATGCGCGTAGTTTAAATTGCAGTAATAAGAATAATATTTGATTTCTCAAATGACTACGCCCCATGCTGCTGCCTGCCCCTGGTGGCGCAGCAGCTTTGTTAAAGTCGTGCTGTGTACGCTGTTTAAGCCAAATGCGCTTGTTAACAAGGTCAACATGGGAACAGCAGGCAGCAGCAGCAGCAGCAGCAGCAGCAGTTGCAGCTGCAGTTGCAATTAAATGCTAATGGCGTGTGAAAGCCAATTTTGAAAAGTATACACAGAGAGAAAAGGAAGTGTACTAAGTGCAAGGCAATCGTACAGCTAATTTGCGAAGTGCCCCAGGGCTGGCAAGCACGTTGACAATGCCATTGACGTTGCGCTTGAGTGGCTTTCAGAGTCGGCCAAAAAGTCCACGGCAAAGAACAACTATTGTGACAGCCGGACAGAGGCGTGCGTCTACCCGCCCGAAACACCAATTGATTGGCAGTGGGTGGTGTTTGGTGGTGGGGGCAGCTGGCAGTCGAGTTGAGCCGAGCCTTTGTCTACTCGCTGGCATTCATTTAATTGCTGAAAGCAAAGCAAGGCAAAGCAGGGCAAAGCAAAGAATGGCACAGCAGCGAGCTGGCTCATATTTTGAGCTGGCCGCAATGAAACCTTTTATTATAATTCAGGCAAGGCACGCGGCTGGCCAGCGGGGGAGCTGCGCCAACTGGGGTGAGTTAAAGAGCTGACGTTGCTCGAGCGGAAACCACTAACCGAACGAGACCCCAATGGGTCGCTGCGGGTGCGTGCCAATGCTCATTGATGTTGACCCGAACTAAAACCGCAAATAACGCAAAACACAAACAGCTACAACAATTACAAAAACAACTTCTGTCTGCACGGAATGCCGAACAGCAAGTGAGTCAGAGAGGCGCGGTGGGCGTGGCCAGATCACAACACCAACTAGCAGCAGCAAACATCGAATTATGTCAGAATCCAAAGCCACAAACAATTAAACAAAATTGCAAATTAGACGTTATATAGACCAACAAACCGACTCCACAGTTAACAACAAGAAATCGGCCAACCAAGAGACCAGCCGACCAGCCGACCAACAGACCAACCGAACCGACCCACTGGCCACGCCCCATTTGCGGTTAGTGCACAGTGTGGCAATGTCAATGGGAAGGAAGTGTAGGAAATTGCCTATTTGCAATTGTAATTTATTCATGTGGTTTAATATGCCGTGAAGCGACAGACTCCAAACAAAGCGCCTCCAAATTGAGCAAAACAATAATTTTCTCTCCTACAAACTAGAATGAATCTATTTTCATTCCAATCGCACTCCCTCTCCCTCTCTTCCTCTCTCTCTGTATGTGCCCATGTTTCAATTCCGCTTGTTTGTCGTTTGGCTGCAATGGTTTGACTAATGATTCGATGTCAAGGTCAGCCGGATCATTGTCACGATTATTGTTCTAGCTGCCTTTCAATTACCAACAGCGCTCAATTTGGCCAAATTAACATAAAGTTTGACAAACGACGCCCAAAAAGTTATGGGATCAAAGCACTGAAATGGGCTTTAGCCTTGATGAGTGAATGGCTCAACTGGAATCTGTCCATCAATCTAGCTGGCTGAGGGGAGGGTCATGGATACTGTGGCCAAATTGTGAGAGCAAAAGGAATTTCGATGGAGGTAGAGTTTTCATGGCCTGAAATAGAAATGTGCTAAGCCAAGTTAGTGAGGTTCATAATTACTTCAGTTTTTACAGACTGTAGCAAAGCTGTCTCGCCTATGCTTAGCTGCTCAAATGTCTAACAAATTGAATTGCGTGAATAAGCCTATCTCTCTCCCCCTCTCTCTCTCGCACACTCTCTATCTCTGTTGCCTTTGGGCAGACTCTTAAGCTGCCATTCAGCAGGCAGTTTTTCATCAGCTTAGACGTGGCAAAGCAATTTAAATTGAACACAATGAACGGCTTGTTGCAACTAGCTGTGGCTACATAGTCCTGCTGGCTAAGTCTGCTAATCCGGTGGCCACTAAATGGACTATATATTGCACTTTTATGTCACGACATTCAAGCAAATTGTTGGCCATTTAAAATGGCTTAAAGGCAACACACACATACACACAGAGAAGATAGAGGGAAAGGGAAACACATACATTTGATTAGGCAGAACCAACTGGATGCTTTGCTTGATTGGGCAAAAGTGTGTGTGGTGCTCTGCTGCCGGGCTAGAACAATAAATGGCAGTCCATTTGCGTACGCCCATGCGGAAGATCAGCGTGCGCCACAGCAAATAGAGTACGAAAATTGTTTTGGCTGTCAAATTACGTAAACATTGTCATAAATGAAAAATTCATCCAGCCGCCGCCGTTGCCTACGCCCTTCGTCTCCGGTTTTCATTTGCTGTCGCTCTAGCAAATTTGTCAATCTCGTCGAGCCTTTTTTGCCTACACTTGGCAGCAGGCCGGGCCACTGGCTGGGACACTGGATGCTAGCTTGGGCCTGGCCTGGCTCAGTTGACGCCGTTGGGCCCTCACATGAGCGCTGGCTTTGTTTTTCTTTTCTCTCTTTTGGATTTTGGCGCTGTTTTGTTTACATTGCTGCAAACCAGCAAATTGCCAACGTTTTTTTTTTTTTGTGTTTTGGTTGGTTTTCATTTTTGATGCTGCCCTCGGCTGGCAGAGCATGTGGAGCCGCGTCTCCGTCCGTCTCCGTCCGGTTCGTCCGCAGGCGCGACATATTAATTATTCATTTCGATTTTTGGTCTGCCAACTGCTTCAAGCCAAAGCATGCAGAGGCCCCGACTGGGCTGTGGGCGTTGCTTGGCAATCGGGGGGCGGGGCCATGGTGCTGGGAATCCGCACGGGTTGCGACTAACAGAGCTGCTTGTGATTTATAAACACGCGCGCCGCACTTTGGTGATTTACTGCAAATTGCTTTATAATGTTATATAAATTTTCTTGTTGTTGCTCAGTTGTTGTTGTTGGTGTTGTGTTGTTGGTGTTTGGTGTTGCCTGCTTTTGAATAATTATAAAAGAAGCAAAAATGTCAGACAACCAAATGGCTTAGACGCACGCCAAATGCACTTTGAACTCAGGACAGATTAAGTATACGCCACGTTCGTTCTGGGATGCCCATCAACAGCTTCACGCTCACTTGGGCTAACATAAATATATGACATTAGCACACTCATGTTTAAATACATATATATTAAAAAAAAAAAAGAAAACATTTAAATTTCATGTTAAAGTAAAACTATGAACAAGTTAGCTAAACTCTATTTATACATATTCAGAGCAAGGTTAGGCACTTTTTTTTTTGGCTTTTGATTAATGCTCGCTAAATGCGAATTTGGCAGCAAGGGCAAGCTGAGAGTAAAAGCAATTCTATGTCTGCTACAAATTACATGCATACGAGTTGAGCTTTATGTAAATTTCTGAATGGCTGATTTTTCTGCTCTTCTAATATTATTTTTATGCTATTTTATTTTTGTGTTATTGTATTTCGTTCAGCGTGCGCTTTTGCCGCTTTTACTAACTTTGCCTTTGGGCTATGCCGTTTTTTTTATTGTGTAAATTTTTCGTAGCTGAAAATTAGAAATGTTCCATCGCGTTCAACTTCACTGACAGTGCGTGGCAAATTGCTTTCCGAAGTCTAAAGTCTGGCCCACACACACACACACACGCACACACATGCAGAGGCCTTGCACATACACCCACTCCCGCACCCACACCCACACTCACAGACAGCCCACACACAAATACAGACAGATACAAGCATAAACCAATTGCTAACAATAATAAAAATTCCTTTTTTTCGGGGGGGCCTTTGGCTGCGCCGTTTCCGTTTCCCAACAATAAGCAGAGTGCACAGACTGCTTGGGCAGAATGGAGGATGGGGGGAAGCAGAGATGAGGCATGCGGGGTGAGGTTATGGTGTAATTTGCATGAACAGACGACGAGCACATAATATCCGTGCATTAGAATTATGCCCATTGCCATGCCAAATGGCGAATAATGGCAGCCAGTGCCGGATAAATTTACTAGATAAATGCGAAAAAATTCGAAAATGCTCCGATGTTGCGGGCGGCGGGGCGAAATTGTGTCTGCCGAATGTGCACATGGCGTATGCGTAATAAATATGGCCGCCTCTCATTATTTGACAATAAATGCGAATGAATCGATCAGGCAGTCAGGCGCGCTGCACATTCACAGTAATTATGCTGCATAATAATCAGAGCTGAAAGTCGGGAGGATTTGCCAATTATCCCCATTACGCTGCAAACGTGATTGATGGGTGGCGTTGGGGGAGGGGCGACAGCCAGATAAGTGAATGTTAGTAACTATTTTTGGCAAATTCAATTGCATAGCTGGTCGCGAGTCGCTTGCCCACAATCCTGTAATAGAAAAATAAAAAGCAAGTGGTGCCACAATGGCACCACCACCACCACCACTGGCCATTGGCTATATCATTATGCAGGCGGCGTGCGCCATTATCGTTTTGCTCTCATTTCCGTTTTCGTTTTTCGGCATTCATTATTTTTATTTTTTTGTTCATTTAACAGGAAGCGCTGCGGAGGCGTGGCAATGAGTGCATCTGCTTTCACTCCCCACTTCCCTCCGCCAGCTGCTGCTGCTGCTGCTGCTGCTATTCACCTACATTTTAAGTATTTTTGTCACAGCAATAACTTTCATGTCAGTCCACAAACAGAACTTAACTGCTGCTCCCACTCACTCAGCAACTCTCTCTCACTCTAGCTCTCCCTCTCTCTCTCTCTCTATTTACAGGCAAGCATCGCGCATAAAACAGTGGCTGGGCAATAGAAAAAGCAGACAGCGTACGGCTCTGCTTCTGGGCCAAAACAGAGTTGCCTTTTGTGCCCCGGCTTGGCAATTGGCCAAGTTAATAGAGAGCGTGAGCAGACGCCAATAATGACGTTGCTGCTGCAGCAGCTGCTCCTGATGTTGATGAAGACGTCGCTAACTTGGTTATTGCTGCTGCCAGCATAGAAAATTGTCAGATACCCAGACCGAGCCAAAGGCAGACCTTAAATAAAACAAAGACATTCGCTCAGCTCGCCCCCACTGCCCACGGCGACTCGCTGCTGACCGAGTACCACAGGCCAGGAGCCAGGAGCCGGCTTACTGCATTTCCGGTTGTTGTTCCTGTCGCCGCTGTCACCATGCCGCCACTCCACATGGCCGAGAGCAGCGGCATGGCCTGGCCGCTCCTGCTCGCTGTGATTGTGATTGTGCTCAGCGGTAAGTACCACGCCCCCCACCAATCTTGTTCTGTATTCATATTTATGCCAGCGGCTGGCATGGCCAAAGCATTTAGTTAAGTTCAGTTTCGCTCCCATTGTTGGCCGAGTTAATTGTTGGCATTTGTTTGACGGCAAGTGCCTCGCTCTGCCCGCAGCCATTGAAAGGCTGGCAACTGCAGCGCCAACAAATGGACGGGATTTTGTTTCAATTAACAATTAGTTTGCACAAAAGTTTTTCTGTACAATCCTTTATTTTTATTTCTCTTTTATTTGGCCAACCAAAGTTGCCGCAAGAGCCCCTCGTTTGCCATATTCCATCAAATGAAATAATATTGCGTATACGCCCCATGGCCATGGGTCGTCGCCTAGTCAAAAGCAAAAACTTAAATGCTGAAGGCAGCTAAAATAACTGCATGCATCCGAGAAATACAGTTGCAGCCAGAGCAGCAGACGGCTCGCAAATTGCATGCATGTAGAATGAAGCAAATCTGATAAAGTTGCAGTCAGAAATTAAATACATATATGTATGTACAGAGGCAAGAGTGAAGGCAAAGTTTGGCATGCTTGCTTGCCTTCCAGCTGGAGGTACTATAATATTTAAAAGCCAATTATATATCAGCTAGTCAAGGCAACAGCCTCAAATTAAAGAATCATGGCTGTAAATATTTGATAGCAGCTTCAGCTAAAAGGAAGCGCCCACATCTAAGTAACTGTGAAAAAACGTAAATATATATTGGAAAAATCAAATAATTGTATTTACACTCGACCACTGGACTAAAGCAATTAAAACTCTTGCGCAAATTTCAACAAAAAACTTTTGCTTGTTGGGCAATTATTTTAAAATCTCTCTCGACCAATATAAATTGAATGAAATTGACCATGTGAATATTCGACCCGAAGCTTGCTTCGAATCTATATGTGTTTGTATGTATGCGCATTTGTATGCGTATATTTAGTAAATGGCGTGCGGGCATATCAATAAAACGGCATGCAAATTGCGCATACGCCACGTGCGCCAGCTTGATTGCAACAAATTAACAAAACGTTTTAGCTAGGCCACGATTAAAAGGCCCAATAAAAAGTTGGAACATGATTTAGGTCTGCCCGGCCAGGCTAGGTCTGCCTACTGATAGCTGCTATAAAAATGCGACACGCAACAATACAACACCAGCAACAACAACAACAACAACAGCAACTCATTTAATTAACAATTTCCGGAGCAGCAGACGGCTGATTCTTAATGCATTTGATTTATGCTTAACGTGTGGTAAATTTATTGCAGCTACAGCAACAAATAGCGCCGCACTCGGTTCGATGGAACAATTCAAAAAATGCTCGAATTAATTGCATTTACGACAACAAAAACTACAAAATGGCCCACACATATTTCAAAATTCAATTAAAATAAAACAAAAATGCAATGAAACGAAAACGGACTGCTGCTGCTGCTCCCGCTGCTCCTGCGGCTCCTGCTGATGCAACGACACTATGCAATTTCCGTTCAAGGGCGTGCCCAGGTGGGCGTAAAAATAATTAAAGCGCAACAAAAACAAATATTGACAACAAGCGACGGCAGCTTCCGCTCAATGTCGACAATTGTTGTTGTTGTTGTGGTTGTTTTTGTTTCAGTTTCTGTTTTGGCTTTCGCGTCCGATTGCATTACAAACTCCATTTGAAATATACATAAACAACTAAAAGGCACAAAACGTTTAGAAAGCCAAAGGTGTATTTGTGTGTGTGGGTGTCTGTGTGTGTGTGTTTGTGTAGGTATACTCAATTGACTGATAGCGGGCAGCTGCTTGCGGGCAGTCTCTGGGCTCTGCGCCACCAGGCGAATGCCAATTTAATTAGCACATTCGACGCTTTTAGCGCAACTAATCGCAGAGAGCGCAGCCATCAATCAATCAATCAATCAGTCGGTCAATATATCAATCAGCGAACGCAGCCGACAATTTTGCTGAGTGAATTTGTGTGTTTTGTGTTTTGTGGCGTGCAAAAAGGGCAAAGAAAAAACTGGCTAAAAAAAGGCAAAGCAAATGCGATGGAAACTAATTCACAAGCGAATACCCTTTAAGTGTGCAGAAGGACAATTGGAAAAGGTCGGAGCCGAGCTGAAGATATAAATAACGGTAGCATAAAGTATATACCTTGGCTTGAAGGGCCTTGAGAATGATTAAACAGGCTAATGAGTTTTGCTGGAAACGTAGAAAGCAAGCTGAAAGTGAGATTGATGATTCCTTGAAGTAGATATTTTCGATGTGGGTATGAACCAGTCTATATCGGCCCTGAAGGAACAGAATATACAAAACTTAACCTTTACACGCTATTTATTGATAACTTATGTCAAATTCCTGCGCCACACATGCTCCAAGCTCCAATGCTCTGCAGTCACGCTTCGCTGCATAAAACAGTCTCACATCTTCTGCTATATAAATTCAGCTTGCACTCAATTCATATATGTAAATGCATACATGTATATATAAGGAAAATATCTTAAGCTCCACAGACACACACACACACATACACAAGCTATCTATATATTAGTTATTCATATATGCATGTGTGTGCAATCCTTTTATGATAGTTATTAGACTTGGCCATGCTGGCTTACTCTGCCGGCCTTAATCAATGTGAAATTTATATTAGCGCTCGTTGGCCATATTTTTCAATATATTCATAGAAATTTCAATATTGATTATGATTGATTTAGTGAGCCGGCAAAGCAGCATATTATTTTTATGGCAATGGGCACGAGTGCATATATTGTTCGACTGGCTGCATGCGATTGCGAATGCCGTGCACGGCAAATTATTCAAAGTTAAATTTACGAGTTGTGCGAAGCTCCATAAAAGCAATTTTAATATTAATAATTTAAAGTTGGTCAGCTATATACAAACACACACACAAGCGCACACACACTCGCACACGTTGTTGTGCAGCATAGAAATTGCAGATATTTTTGTGTAAAACTTGTTTTATTTGTCCAGCCAACGCAAAAGTCCAAAAAGAAGTCAAATAAATAAATGCATTGGAATGAAATTCGGCGAATAGCGTAAAGCAAACGTACCAAACGAGTCGGCAGCAAGCCAACACACACCCCTCTCTCTCTCGCTCTCTCTCTCTCTCTCTCTCTGTCTCTGAGGGGTGGGGATTGGTGCGGAAATGGAGTGCTTGCCTCTGCGCGGTCGATGGTCAAATATTTGCAACAAACTTTTTGGCCTGGCCAAGTCATTGAACGTTGGCTTGGCGAACTCAAACAGAAAGCACAAAACAAAAGTTCTACAATTCACGTCGAGTGTGTGTGAGCGTTGCAGCACAGCAAATGGACTTACGAAATACCCTGTAATAAATATTTAATGCACAGCCAGATCCATTCAACTTAAACCTGCCACATACTCCTTACAATGAAATACGCCGTCTGCAAGCGAACAGCCACGGCGAATACGAATTGCGTTTGGGGCCTCGGCCAGATGGCATGAAACTCTCCAGCAGCAGAGCAAAAAATTGCCACGTAGGTAATTGAGTATGAATGTGGAATGTGTCGAAAGCGTTTTTGATATTTGCCAAACAAAACGTTGGCATGGAAAGACGTGAATAAAGCAACAGCAAAACATATACACACACCAGCGAAAGGCCCAGAGAAGCTGGCCAGGCGGCGCCACAGCGAGGACTTCAGGTAACATGTGTGTGTGTGTAGGTGTGTGTGGGTGTATGTGGGTGTGTGGGTGTGGGTGGCAAGTTGGCAAGCAAAACAAGTGGAAAATGAATTCGATACATTATCATGACGTCAAGTCGTGCGTGGTGACTGGCTGGACCGGGAGGGGCTGCCGGGCCGGAGCAGCGGGGCCGGAGCAGCGACTCAGGGCCAAAGTGGCTGCCAAAAAGTATAAATTACGTGTAATGCGGCGCTCCCTATCGATGGCAGCCATTTCTTATGCGAAACACCTGCAGCAAGGCCAACGGACGGACTGACTGTCAGAGAGACAGACGGACGGACGGACCAAAGCAAATGTGCGCATAAATGAATTACCAATGAACCGCATGCGATGCTCTCTACGTGCCACATTTTATTTTCAATTTGGATCCGAACTGGGAAGTCGAATCGAGCTACGCTTGGGCGCTAATTTGTGGGTGGTATCCACTTCCAGATGGCCTAGCACAGTCGGGTATTTAACCATCTGACAGATGCGCTGCACAAAGTACCTTGCTAGAGTACAAAGCTATTGTGGAGCGCGGGTGAGGGGGCTCCATTCGACAGCCTACATAAAAGCGCAATTTGCGCCATTATGCGTCGAGTTCCATTTGATTAGAACACGATGACACGAACGGCGCACAGCTCAAGTTGTGGGCGTGGCATAGGCTGGGGGTAAAAGCAATTTCACTAAATCTGCAATTGTTATGTCGCCTGCTAAACAACTCACTTTGCCACACACACACACACACAGGGAGAGAGAAACGAGCAACTGCCTCTCAGGCGGCTTCTTCCATTCGGGTAGCCATAAAAGCCAAACGTTCTCACACGTCAAATATTTATATTGCATTGTTCCCCTTCCACTCGTCCCCCTCTCTCACTCCTTCTTTCACTCTGTCCCCTGATCATTGTTCCTGTGCGATATGATTTGGGTATTGATTAAGCGTCAATGGGGAGTTTCCTCTGCTGCCGCCACTGCCGCTCCTCCTCCTGCTGCTGCCTCCAATTACTGCTGCGCTTTATATCCCCATGCGAGAACATTTTTCTCTCTACACAGTTTTACAACATTTTTATGCTACATGGCAAGAAAAATGTGGGCAGCAATGTGCCATAAATCATGCAAAACGATTTGATGGCCTCTATCAGACAGTTTATGGGCCTAGTTAAAATGTTTATGGCCCAAACTCGACGGTGAGCAGCAATTAAGCATCATACTCCTGTTGATCAGCTCCTAATCAAGAGCCAAGGCCAGCTGGTGCACATAAGACTCTGAAAGGATTGTCTTGACAATGAAAAGGAAATTGCTC